TCATCGGCCAAGGAGCAGGGAAAGAGGCTACAGGAGAGTCACAACTGCCTTCGGAAACACAGAAGAAACCAGCGATGTAACATGATGCAGAGTATCTTAAATCGGTGACTGACATTTTACTCTGTGGTACAACTCCAGGGGTTTTCCCTGGTGAATCAGGAGCAAGATGAAACAGCAACTAACTACTATCATTCCCATTTTACAGAGGAGGAAAGGGAGGCTTCAAGAAGTTAGTAAATCACCCAAGGAGCGTATACATGGTGCCGCTGGGGTTTTACCGGGTCTGTGTGACCACTGAACCTGTTATCCAATGTCTGATGAGCCAGAAGCCCTGAATGGACAGTAATAAGGGCTCAGCACAGACGAGACCATCTCCTGTGACTTCATTCAATTAACACTTCCCCAACCAGAGGTCATCAGGTCATCGTGCCTGAGTGGCCCAAGGCGTGAGGCCACATGGGAAGATCTTGTGAGGCGTCAGATGTGTGTGCGTGAGCACGTGTGTGTGTAGGGTGGAAGGTGGTGCAGGGGATACAAACAGCCATCAGAGTTCTTGGGCTCTAGTTCAAAACTATTCTTTGAAGTGCTCGAGAGTTGTTTTGTTTCAGAACACTAATGTATTTTGGAAAAGAAAAAGAATTTTTAAAGGCAAGTCATCTCTCATCCTCTTTCTTCATTCACAGGGCCAGAAAAGTGGTATTTCTGGCATGGGCTAGAGGCGGGATACTCTATAAATACAAAGCCATTAAATCCCATGCAGCGGGAACCTGATCAGGGCCTCCTTTTAATTTCCTGACATGAGCTGGCCACTAACCCAATTACCCAGAATCCCCGGAGGAGCCCTCCGCCTTCCCAACAAGCACAAAGAGATTGAGAGCGTATCGCATGGATGTCAGCCCAGCTTTCACTGAAATCAAATATCTTTTAGAAAACACTTGGGGAAAGGCAGACCAGGGGCTGAGGGGAGGAGGAAATGAAGCGGGCCCGGGAGGCTGGTGGCCTGAGGGAGGTAAAGTGAGGTGAGCAGAAGTTGTTTGCAGGGACAGTCTGTGCGGGAAGATTTGCAGAATTCCCGGATGTACGGGTGCCCCCTGTGACATGCAGCAAATGGTTCTCCAGGTTCTCCTGGCTTAGAGGCCATCAGGCCACACCCTCACCTATCTGGGGAGGGCTTCTCCATGGTCCTCCCAAGGGACCCTCTCATCCTCATTTTAGACCCCAGATGGGGTCAGCCTAAGGCGATGCCACCTCTAGGTCTCCCACCAGCCAATCCAGGAGGAAACTCAAGGCAGCTGGACACTAGTAGGCCCCACCTAACACAATGGGCGCAAACGAGAGCATCTTTGAATCCAATACTACTTTAACATGCCCAGGAAGCCGACATTTTAAAGCGGTCCCACAGCAGATCTTACCAAGGAGTCGTCCCATCTGGTCCTCACCTTGACCTAGTGATAGAGAGCAGGTTTCAACACCCCTGCTCCACAGGTGAAGAAATGCAGGCCCAGGCTCGTAAGTGAGAAATCATAGACAAAGCAAGGATACCTAAGAGCCAGGAGGGGACACAGGCACTGACATCCAGCCCAGAGCAGATTTTGTATTCAGTTTCCTATAAAGAGAATCATCACTCTTTTCTCTGAAAATACAGATTTTCATACACGGGATTTGCTTGAAGCAAGACAGACCCTTGGACATCACCTGTGCTCCACAGCCGACGCTTCCAGAACTGACAGCAGCCTCGAGGCAGAGGCTGAGCCAAAGAAAGCCCCACTTCTGACCTTTTCCCTGGCAGTTGCTGGGCCCCCAAATCACGTGGCGCTCTCTCAGGTTATTTTACTTAAGAAAGGAAAGACCAAATAAGGATCCAGAGCTGCTGGACAGAAGAGGGAAGCAGGTGAGATGCGGAGGAGGGGAGGCTGGCCTTCCATTCTCCCCTTCTCCATCTCCCTCCCCCAGAAGACCCAGGACCCCAGCCCCTGGCTCCCCGATGTCGAGAGGAGCCTTGAAGATGGGGTGCGGGGGGCACCTGGGGAGGGCTGGGGTCTGCATTTCAGAGTCTGGTCAGAGTCTGAGGGAGACAGAGGGAGGCTGCGTGCCTGCACATGATGGGGGTGGGGGGACGGGCACCTAAACAAAAGCAGAAGCCAGGGCAGCTCCCTGGCAGGGACACAGGCTTCTCAAGGAGGCGCGCTCCTCTTAAGGGGCCGGTCCCCGCGGAGCTTCAGAGCCCGGGACCTTGCCAAGGCTCTGTACTGCGGGGACGAGCTAAGCGAAGGAGCCTTTGTGTCATCTTCCCCCGTCAGCAGCGGGGGCAGGGCAGAGCGGGGGGAGGGAGCGTTCTGGGGACTGCCCTTCTCCTGGGGCAGAGCTCCTGAGGGCTGAGCCCCCGGGAAGTTCACCTCGGCACACCTGCCCGGCTCCCGCCAACAGCCTCAGACGCCCACCACACGTGTGCTCCCCACCTGAGGCTCTCGTTCCCCCAGCAGCCCACACCATCATCCTGGGCCACACAGCGTCCATCCCGCTCCTTTTAAGTAGCTGGCGGGGTGCCTGGCCTGCTGTTGCCGATGGATTGCGCCCCTGGCCACCTGCTTCCCTGCCTCTGTGGATCCCCTCATCATTCTGCCTTTCTGGGCCGCCACTGGGAAGCACCCCTGCTCTCTTCCCAGCACTGGGTAACCAACCCCTCAAGAGACTCTGCTCAAAGGTTGCAAGGTGGTCCAGGGATGTCAAGTGGCGGTCCCCACTTTTTCCTTCTCTCTCCCTCCCTGCTCATAACCCTGGGGGGAGGGCGAGGTGGCCTGGGCTTAGAAGCCTCCCCACCCCTGACCTGGGCCATGCGGAGCAGACACAGCACAGCAGGGAGAAGCTCCAGGCTCTGGGACCAGCTCCCCTCAAACCAGCGTGCGTCGCTGCAGGACTCAATTTTGTCTCCCTCAAATTCAGGAGTATATTGATAGCAATCAGCTGCTTCTGTTCCAAGCTCCTCAGACGCTGTGAAGTAAGCCAAGAAGCCTACACGCTCCAACCAGGAAAGGCTGTTGGACAGCTGGCCCCTGCCCGAGTCAGGGCCCTCACACCTGGCTTCCCAGAACATCCTTACACACTTAAGAGCAGAGTCTCTCCAAGGCTGACAAAGCCTTCGGTTGCTTCTCAGCAGCATGCGGGTGGGGGGGGAGTCAGGAGACCAGCGCTGAGGCACGCTTCTGAGGGCCTCTGTGCCTCAGTTTCCTCATCTGTGCACCCCAGGATGCTCTGGAGGAGCAGAAAGAACCCGGTACAGAAGACAGAGGACCTGGTTCAGCCACTAGCTGGGGTCACACCCTGCACAGGGGTAGACCAAAATTGGGGAGAATCAAAATGAACAGACACAGTCTTTCAGCAGGTCCAGCGCAGCCTGTTTCTAATCTAGAAAGAGAGCTGTTTCTTCAGTTGGTTCCCCCAGTGGAGCAGCTGGCATGTGAATAAGAGCTGAGGGGCCTCCTCCACGTCAAAAGGGTTGCACGAAACAACTAGTAAGAAACGCAGTTTAAGGGTCAATGTGCCATGTTGACACAGGGGCAGTGGAGGAACCGGGCTCAGCGGAGGTGAAGGGGGCGCCCGGAATGGAAAACAGACGGAGTCCCCAACTTCCACATCACAACAACGTCCAAGTCGTCCTACTAACAAAGCACCTTAGATTCGGGCCCTCTTCCCAGAGGGCGCCTGGAAGCCAGGATGGGAGGAGGGCCTCGGGCTCTTAAAGGGCGGGCTGGGCTCCAGAAGCTCCTCCCACTGAGGGCCTGCATCCGAGTCCTGCCCCTTCCTCTCCTCTCCCAGCCCCTCTGGATCCCATAATCTGATCACCAGCACACACCTCTTTTCCTGACTCCTCTCATTTCTGGAAGGATCCCAGGGCCCAGAATCATAAAAGCTGATCTGTAGAAATTGCCACTGGCTCCCCTTGAAAGCAGGGGAAGGGGAGAAACACACACACACACACACACACACACACTACCCAACTCCAAAAATGGCACTAAACGAGGTTCATCAGCCTGAGCAGATAAACAGGGAAGGCGGTGCGGGAGAGCCGTGCTGTCCTAATAACGAGAGCCACAGGTCACTTACAATTCTCTAGTAGCCACGCTAAAGAAGGTAAAAAGAAGCTGTGATATCAATGTCATAATACGTTTTGTTTAATCCAATATGTCCAGAATATCATCATCTCAACATGTAATCATTTAAAAAATTATCACCACAACATTTTACACTCCTTTTTATCATCCTAGTAAGTCTTCAAAATCTGGTGTGTATTTTACACTTAGAAGACGTGGCTCACGCTGCCGTGTTGGATGGCAGGCTCTAGAGGAGAAAGAGAGGCAAAAGGTAGAGAAAGGAAAGGGAAGAGAGAGGATGGGGGTGGGGGCAGGGGACAGGAGGAGGAAAACACTGGCATGTTTTCCATGGGCATGTTTTCCATGTCCTGTGCACCTGCTGGCAAACAGAGGTTGACCTTGGCAGGTGAAGGGTACGTGATGTGTCATTCTGGGCCTCAACGTCTCTGCTCTCTGCATGCCCACACTCCATGGGCCACCGAGAGGTGATAAAGCATCCCAAGGCTTCCTTCCCAGGGTGGAGAGGGTTCTTGGCCCCGACGAGGGCCTTCCCCAGAGCGCCAGGCCAGCTTTTCTAAGGCCCAAGTGGGGTCACGATTCCCCAAAGGATCTTTAATGGAGAACTTCCAACTCCTGTTGCCCAGCAGCATCCCGAGAGCGCGGAGAGCTTTAGCTGCCCACGGGGACTGGAGGCTGCACACCTGCCTGCAGGGTGTGTGAGACAGGCAGCCCGGGGGGCAGGGCCTTCACCCGGGCTACAGGGAAAGACCTGTTCCCGTGCGCCGCTCAGGGAGAAGGTCCTGAGCTTGCTGGCATTTCCCGGGGGGTCTGAGACTTCCCGTGGGAAGAAGAGCTTGCCCAGGACCCAGGCTTCGGTTCCGCCTCGCATGGCCAAGCGGGGCCTCTTACCTTCCTTCAGCATCCCCACTTTGAGGCATTTCATGAAGCGACAGGCCTGGCAGGACTTGCGCCTCCGTTTCGTGATCTCACACTCGTTGGTGGCCAGGCAGCTGTACTCAATGTTCCCTGTAAGCAGACACAGAAGGGTTGCCAGGTAGTGCCCCCATCTGCCAGCCACAGGCTGCATGGGGATTCACCGACCAAATCACTACTCTCCAGCCCCGAGGTTCCCACAGGGCAGCGGTTCTCAAAGTAGGAGGAGCTCCGAGACACATGTCAGGGTGTTTCCTACTCTTAAATACAGAGATCCCAGTGCCAGAGGTCAGGTCGGCCAGGCAGCCACAGTTTTGAAGCCACCACTGAACTGGGACATCAAAACTCACTGAGCTGACATTTTATCCCAAGCAGAGAAATTTTATCCCACTGCTGACCGAAACGTCAGTGTGGCCCACCGGCCCCATGCCCTCCAGCCTGGGCCCCAACTCATGGGAAAAACCTCTCGGCAGCTCTGAGCCCGCAGGGACCAGGGCCTGCATCCCACATCCCATGGCAGAGGCCCAGGCCACCCAGCTTGGCTGACCTTGAGAAAATCACTTTCCTCTCACTGAGTTGCAGTTTCCTCATCTGCAAAATAGTGTGATATCTGCTAGATGAAGGATTAAGCAAGATCAGGTATATAAGATTGCTTTAAAAATTGTAAAGCACGATTTGAAGTGAGCTGGTGATTTTATAAGCACAGTTCATTGCTGCAGAGGGAAACTGTGATTAATTTTCCATGTCACTCCTTAACTGGGTGATAATAATGGCTTCCGTGAACCTGACCCCATGCTCCTAGTAGGCTGTGAGCACCACGAAGGCAAGAGGTTCATCACATCATCTCTATTGCACTGAGATCAACCCCTGCTGCACAGGAGGCGTGCAAGACAAGCCTGCTGAATAAAAAATCTACCGAATCCTCATAGCAACTCCCTGAAGTAGGTACTGATACCATCCCCATTTTACAGATGAGAAACCTGAGGTTTACAGAGTGGTTTACAGACTTATTCAGGATGAGCTGATCTTCGAATGCTCTGGGGAGGCCATTGTCCCTTTGCAGGGCCTCTTCCTGGGAGGGCTGACAGCACGGTTGGGAGAGGCTGCAGCTGCCTTTCTAACGTAGGGGCACAGCATCTGCCCTGAGTGCTCTTACGTGTCTGCACTCATGTCACAAATGTGCACTGTGCAGCTATAACAAGCCTGGAGGCCAAAGGAAAGGCAATGGGAGGGGGAAAGGGACTGGAATTGTTGGGGGTGGGCGGAGAGACAGGCAATAGAAAGATACAAGTGCAGGACAGCGGACCACTGTGCCGTTTTGGATTTTATCATGTCTCCTCGGCCCCCGTCCCAGTCAGTGCAGTCTGCTTGAGTCTGTGGTTTTCAGAGAACAGACTCTGAACTACTGCAAACCTTTCATCCCAACACCCATCCAGCTGCCACCTTCTCAGGGAGCAGGGACAAGTGATGCCCAGCAAGCCGCTTGCCCGGATTCCCCTCCCGGGCCCAGCTCACCCAACAAGGACACTGCCTGGCACGGAGCAGCCTCCAAAAGGCCACTCCCAGCCCTGCACCGTGCTAGAAAGGGCAGCTCCAGGCCTGCCTGTGCCCAGAACCGCCCCCCCCCCCCACACACACACAACCCATCCACTTTAGCAGCAATAAGAGCCACCTTCATGTGCACCTGCTAGGAGCGTGACCTGCCTCAGATCCCTCCATCCTCACGGCAACCCTCTGGGACCCACCAGTGCCCCATTTTACAGACCAAGAAACTGAGAGTCAGGGAGCTGAAGTGAGTTACCCGAGGCCACACAGAGCCGCTGTGCCACCCCTGCACCCCACAAGAAGCTTGGGGACTTCAGACAGTTCCCTATGCTAACCCAGCTACTGAGGTGGTCTAGAGGAAGGGGAGAGGGGCTGTCCTCAGGTGTCCCTGTTGCCTCAGCCTCCCCAGGTAGCATTTGGATTTTCTGAGAACAAGCATGACCAGGTTCCACCACTGACAAAAGTGTTTTGAAGCACTGAAATTATTGAGCCCCAATTACAAGACGCCTAATTACACTGAGTACGCACAATGTCCCAGTGAGGATTCCGATCCTCATTTTGTACAGGTGAGAAAACTGAGGCTCACAGAGGTCGATTTGGCCGGAGCACCTTACAGATCTCTCTCTCTCTCTCTCTCTCTCTCTCTCAAGTCCAGCCGGCACCATCCTTCTGTGGGGAGGGGGGCCAGAAGCCATCCTCTGTGCTGGAGGATGGGAGGTAAGAGGCAAGGGGAGGAATAAAGATTCCGTGTGCCCCTCCCTCCTATTACCTGACCCTAACCATTTCTTAGGTCACTCTCTTTGTGACTTCTTGGGAAATAATTTCAATATTCACATAAGCATGGTAAGATTAAAAAGAGAAACAGGGGAGGGATAAATTAGGAGCTTGGGATGTACAAATAAACACTATTATATATAAAATAGATAAACAGGGGCTTCCCTGGTGGCGCAGTGGTTGACAGTCCGCCTGCCAATGCAGGGGACACGGGTTCGTGCCCCGGTCCGGGAAGATCCCACATGCCGCGGAGCGGCTGGGCCCGTGAGCCATGGCCGCTGGGCCTGCGCATCCGGAGCCTGTGCTCTGCAGCGGCAGAGGCCGCAACAGCAAGAGGCCCGCATACCGCAAAAAAAAAAAAAAAAAAAAAAACAGATAAACAACGAGGACCTATGTATAGCACAGGGAACTATATTCAATACCCTATAATAACCTATTATAGAAAAGAATCTGAAAAAGAATAGATATATATGTATAACTGAATCACTTTGCTGTACACCAGAAACACAACATTGTAGAGAGAGAGAGAGAGAGAGAGAGAGAGAGACAGAGAGAGAGAGAGAGGGAGAGAGAGAGAGAAACAGAAAGGAGGAAATCCCATACGTAAGCTAGTTCATCCAGGTCTATCCCGGCTTAAAAGGTTCTGTAGAATTTGGCCCCGGCCTCCACCCCACTCCCCTCCTCTCTCTCCAGCCTCACCTTCCCCATTGCTCTGCATAACTATCAGTTCCTGGAACTCAGTGACCTCCTAGGCTCCCAGGCCTTTGCTGCTTAGGACAAGGCCACTCTGCTCCCTCCGCCTCCTGGCCTGGCCTGCCCACACCTCCTGGTCCCCCTTGGGAAGGTGACCCTTCTCTCCATCACCCGGTCGCCACTGTGTGTCTCCTCCTCCCAAATCAGCTTTTCTCTGTAGTCCCAGTGCCTGGCACACAGTAGGTGCTCAATACACACTGAGAGCTGACACTGACGAGAGCTTGTTATGAAGCAGCTGCGGTTCTACTTTTCTTATGTTGAATCTTTAATTTTCCCAACAACACTGGAGGTAAACATCTTCCTCTCCATCTTACAGATGAGAAAGGTAAGCAGAGTCCAGGACAAGGCAGAGCAAGGACTTGAAACCAGGGGGTCTGGCTCTGCTCTGCTCCCCTGGGCGGTGAGTTTACAGGGCCTGGGGCCTGGGGACTCGGGCCACCTTGGGATGCCACTTGCAGGTGGCTAACTCTTCACGTTCACTGGTCTCAGCCCCCCAGCCAGCCTGTCAATCCCTTGAAGGACAGATCTTAGGTTGTCACTCCAGCAAGGGGTCCATAAGTATCTGTTGATTTGGCACTGCTGCTCTCCCAGGACAAGAGACTGAGCATTAACAAGAACCTAGGGATGTTCTTGACTCTGTGGGTGTGGCTGTGTGTGTGTGTGAGAGGGAGAGAGATCTAATTTTATTTATTTATTTTTGTTCCTTTCAATTTGTTTTATGGCCCCAGCGGCTGACTGCCAGCAAAGCCAGGCTGGTGGCCCTGCCTTGTAATTTCTGTAAGTGCCTCCTTGATAAAGTGATGAGATTAATTCATCAGAATTCCTGTGGTCTCTGGAGGGCAGTCTAGGAGAGCACAGGAGCAGGGAGGGGCGTGTATACACACACACACACACACACACACACACACACACACACTCACTCACTCACTCACTCACCAGGGGCTGAGGGGTGGCAGGGTTGGGGATGGGCTCTCACAGGACAAGGACACAGCCAACATCTAGCATAAATTCAGAGTTCTAACCTGGGAGTGTGCCCAGTATAGACATATGCAGACTCTACCTCAGGCAAATCACCCAACTTCTCTGGGCCCCAGCTTCCTCATCTGTAAAATGGGCACAATATGTTGTTCCCAACTATACAGTCCTGAGGATTCAGCACATAAAGGGCTTAGTGAAGTGCATGCACTGGGTGGCAAGCAAAGTGAACATGCTTATTTTTACATGCATCAGGGCTGCCAGGGTACATATAGCCAGAAGACCCCAGGGTAAGTCCTTTCCAGGTGTCAGACCTGAGGCCAGCCACCCATTCTGCCATTTAAGAACATTAGGACCAGGCCTCCCATAGATAGACCTCAGAGCTCATGCTGCCTGTGGGAGGGAGAGGGAGTCAGGAATGATCTGGATTTCAGTGTGACCTCAAGGCACAGGGAAATCCCCACCATCAACTCTCTTCAATCCTGTGCCCCAGGAGAAGGAAAGCCCAGGGGCATCCCCATCAGCTGTCCTGAAACAGCTGCAGGAAAGTGGGCAGTCCCCTCCCTGGGGCTCAGGGATGGGGGCTGCAGAGCTTAGATAAACAGCTCGTGAGGAATTTATGGGCTCAGGGGCTGCTGGCTAACATTCTGAATGGCCACCATTTTTAGCTCTGGAGTGATAGGGCTGGGCTGGGAGTCACTTGGTTCCACTCCCTTATTTATCTCACTCCTGGAGGAGAGAGACTCTCCCTTTCATCTCTGCACGGTCCGCTGTCCTCAGCTCTCCACCCTTCCCTCCTCCTTACCCTCCAGCTGATGATCTCATTCATGCCACTGGCTTCAGCTTATGTAATTGGCAAGGACGGGCAGCAAGAGGCACTGTCTGTGCTTCAAACCCTTATATCCATCTGCCTGCTGGCTACTTCCACCTGGAATTCCCTTGGGTTCTTCATACTTCCTCCACCTGAACCCATCCTCACCCAGACTTTCTCTTACTGTGTTCCTTGTCTCAGCAAAGCCATCACTAAGCCACCCGCCATCTGGGTC